AGTCTTGGAAACCGACAACGCAAAAAATAATACCACGCACGGAGCGACTCGCGCCACTGCTTGCCGGCTTTTATTTATTATTTATTTCAATTGATATGCATAGGATATCTCGTATTACGAACACACTTTTTCGATTTCGCTCAAGAGTCAGAGAAGAATGCAACGTAATAGCTCACGACAAAGACGTAAGCGTAAATGTAGATTGGCGCGCAAGCTTTGGCGTATGTCGTACTTACATCTAATTCATATGTCGTTGCATTTACGCCAAAGCTTGTGCGCTATCTACGTTTACGTTTGCGTCTTTGTTGTAAGCTATTATGTTGCTTTGTGCTCTGACTCTTGGGCGTTTACGGATTGCTTTCCGCCATCAGCCTTACGGCTGTACTTGCGATAGTTGCTTTTCGGAGCCATCAAAGTCATAGAATAAACGAAATGGACGCTCGTAATATTTCATTACGAAGGATAGAATTATTAATTTTATGTTGAATGGAAGAGACGTGAAAAGAGAAATTAGATTGGCAACGGCGAGCTACGTAGGTAGAAAGTTCGCCGTAAATAATTTCGCATGTTGAAGTAATCGGCGACTAAGTTGATCAGAATGTCGTCGCAGTTCTGAATCAAAGGATTGCTGGATTCCCGCGAAAAGTTCGCAGTGCACTAACGCTCTTGGCAGATGACGCGTCCAAATCGCGAAGGTGTTAGTTGAGACACGCGCAGATGATCACGTCTGCAAATTTAGCTGCAAAATCTACTTCACATCATTTTTCAAATCTTACCTTAGAATAATTGGAGAACTATTATAAAAATTTAAAGTACACGATTTAAAGCCGCGGTTAAGCTGTCGCTTCAAACGACTCCAAGTATTCTTCTCCTTCCTTTCAGAAAAGATAAAGGAGCAACACTTGGATGCATTTGTAGCGGCGGTTTGACCGCAACCGTTTTCACGCGTTCGGACAATTCAGATATGCTATAAAATATTATTTACCTTCGTTATTACGGCAAACTGTATGCTTTAAAAATATTACATTGCTGATACATTAGTTTCTTTTGTTACAACTCTCGTGGGAAATATCTGACAAGACAGAATTAAAAATGAAATAACTCAGTGTTAAAAGTGCATAGTTTCCAGTGAGAACACTTGTATACATTTAAATGAAATAAGAGAATGTCGGGTTTTATTGTTCTTTATTAAAAGAAATATATACAGACGTGTCTGCGATGGAAAGAATAGAGGATTACTCTGCGTCCTCCTCGTCCTCGTCTTCCTGGCTGTTGATCTGGAAGTATCGTAATTCGTACGTCTCCTTATCCTTCGACACTACTCGCAGCCAATCGCGCAACTTGTTCTTCTTCAAGTACTTCTTCGTCAGGTACTTGAGGTACCTACGGAGACAGTTTTACCAAATCAGTGCAAATATCGCCCTTCCTTTAGCTTACGGTAGCAGACGAAGATCCCCGAATATCGCTCAATGTCCACCAGGTTCTACCTAGTACGTTACTGCGAAACACGACATTACTCACCGCTTCGAGAAATCTACGTCACTGTTGATGGTGAGCTTCATCTTGTTACGCTCCAGGGCCACATTGTTGCCGAAGTTGTTGGTCTTTCCGCCAACCTTGATTTTATCGTGTAAATACTTTTCCTGAAACAAAATTGCTGTTTCACACTAGCTAGCGTCTCAACGCAATATCCAAGAGCTTCGGCAGGCATCGCGGGATTCAAATTGAAAGTCGAGGAACTTGAGATTCCCAGCTTCTGGGGCTCGATCGCGAATCTCCAGCGAAAACTTGCGAAAAGTGGGCGAATTTCTCGGGCGAGTTTAACGCTTGTCAACGAAACTTCTCAACCTCTCGCGTGCTCATGCACGATCGAGCCCCTGCACGTGGAGGTTAGGAAGTCACGAGGAACAGGTTAGGGTCGCGTCACGCCCGAGGGCACGCGTCGGGCGAACAGCCGCGAGGAGAATTCCCGCGGCTGGCGGACAGGGAAGTGTCGAGACTACAGGCCGAAACGATCGTGTGTAACTTACAAAATTCGTGACGTCCATAATGTTGTCCTCCACCGGATGCGTGCAGTCGATCGTGAACCTCAGGGACACCTTCTTCTTCTGTCCCTTGCCGCGAAGGACCTGCTTCTTCATCGGGCCCTTGGATTTCTTCGCCGGCTGCAAATTCACGGAAAACAATTCCTTCTATTAACGATAACGTTTGCCTACATTTCGCGGGGGGGGGGGGGGGGGAAACACGTGGAAGATCGCTCGGGGCGAGGATCAACGGGACGGCGCGCGTGCGAATCCGACTCGGGCGAGGCGATCGCGCGGAAGAACGAGAGACCGACGCGACGCGGTCGACAAACCGGGCGCGTACTTTCCGCTCGCGACACTATTTCCGTGGGATTTCGTCGCGATTGCGGTCGATCGCCGTACTTTTGCCGGCGACGAGAACTTACCAGAACCATTTTCACACACGTTCGACAAACGAAAGAAGCCAAGAGACTGGCCGTCGCGCGGCGCTGCGGTGCGGTCGCTCGTAAAGTCACTAGATATATATCTAGTGACTTTAGTCGCTCGTAGAGTCATTCTAGGGACTCTAGGTCAGATCGCGCAGCGCCGCGCATGAGCGCTGCGCGCGCATGCCCGATCGCGACACGAGACGACGGCGCTTCTTCACGTTCGTTACCGGCGCTTTTCGCTCATGGCTACGATACATAGTACACGCGTCGTGTAGTGCTAAAGATTCTCAAGTGCTCTAGTGGACCTTCTCAACAGAGATTAGACTCAGTGCGGACACGTAGTGATCTCACACCAGTGCGACTCATCCCGGACAGCTCAAGATACAGCATCACCGGCGGCTCAGGCTCACCACGCATCGCGCACGCCGGCGCCGCGTGGACACGGCTCACGGGCATCTACACATCAGAGGCCGGCTCTCGATCAGTAATATCGAACCATGGTGGAAGGGATATCCACCATGTATCGAACCGTGCAAATGATTAAGGACTTCATTACCGTCATACTCATAGACTTCTCAACTGTAAGCATACTGTGATTATTAAATCGTGATACGGCATTTTACTCAAACGATCCGAGTTACGATCACGTGATATTTCACCCTCTCACGCGTGAATTCTTTCCTTGAGCCTCTCACCGCTAAGTCCTCTCACCCTGCTTTCATCCGCAGCGATACCAGCGAACTCTCCTAGCGAGAATCGCTAACACAGTTGTAGAATTAGCCAATTTTTCCAACCTCACGGTAAGCTAACTAATAGTTAAATTATATGTTTATCTTTGTCTAATTTGATTTTTAAATTTATTTTATTGAATGCAAGCAATCACGAGGATTAGAAAATTACAAAAACTCATTTTTTAATCATGATTTGATCATTTTCTCATCATTTTGACATTATTTAGATATCGTTTTGATGTCATTGTGATTTCCTTTTTTACATACCTAGTTAAAAATCACTTAAAAATCATAGCTACATCAATAATTTATCACAAAATGCTCCTAAAAAGTGTATCGAATGACATCATGATTTTTCCTAAAATGAGTTCTACTTGATGTCATTATGATATTATTATGATTTTGTGTTCTACCTGGGTTGGGGTGCTTGATTTACGTGAGTCCCCTTGCCTCTCACTTCGGGGTGCTTGTTTAACGTGAGTCCCCTTGCCTCTCACTTCGGGATGCTTGTTTAACGTGAGTCCCCTTGCCTCACGTAAAGTCAAAATCTAAAATATTATAGAACCTTGTCACCAAATTTATTTTCAGCAGCCTACTCGTGCATTTTCCTTCCGTATTCTATCGCCTACTGTGCTGTCTTACCATCTTGTCCCCCAACTGCCACGTTTATGTCTTTGCATGTTTATATTACTATGTTTATTAAAGTATCAAATATTCAAAATGTTTAGGACTTGCACGTTTCATATTTAGATAGTTGGCTACATTGTTAAAATTAACTCCACACGACGGTTTTATTTAATTCAATTAAAGTACATAAGTAGTATACCTCGTATTGTGAGCACATCTTTTCGATTTCGCGTCAAGCTTATTTCTCATGTTTTTCTAATACAGGAAAAAAACAATTGAATTGAAGTTTCCCTGTCTTCTAAGGAAAAATAAAAAGACAAGATGACGTTAATTTGACGTTATATTGAGCAAATTTTAATTTTTGGCCAAAAACGATTTTTTGTAGAAAATCATTTTTTTCCGATATCTCTTAAAGTTGTTGACCAATCAAACTAATACTTTGGAACAATGTTTAGAACAACTAGAACAACCTGGAACAACCTTAAAAAGTTGGATTGTCGAAAAGTGGGGTGCCAGGCATGGGGTGCCAGGTAGAAAAATCGTTTTTTTAATTTTCTGCGAAAATATCCATGATATAAATTTGATCTTCGGGAACAATTTGGAACAAGTCTAGAACAACCTGGAACAATTTTTAGAATTTTGAAATTCCAAAAATGGGGTGCTAACTTCACACAGGTCACACGTTATCTAAATAGCGTTACGGTGAACTACGCGCATGCGCAGTTCCGTCTCTGATCCAATAACGTAAGTTTAGCATTCCCCGTATTTGAGAAAACGGTATTGCAAAAACTCTGTATTATTTAATTTGTTGCGTTATAATTTAAGCAAAATGAATAATTACTTATCAGATTCCTTTGTTTCCTTTTTCTTTTGTTGACGTAATTTCGTTTGGGTGTTACTTAATTTTACGCTTTCCGCTTGTGCCTCACTTCCTTGAAAATCGTCAGCTGACATTGAATTTTGAGATGTATTCGCAAATCTGCATTTATGTCATAATTAATCGCAAAGAAAAAATACATCGTATCTAAGGTGGCCCCTGCACGAGGGAATGGTTAGTATGGGTACTTTGGTGGAGTCCCTTTTATTTTTTAATTTATATAGCTTTTCATTTATAGGAAGCAATATAGACGGACAATTATGCTCTTTTAGTCGTATTTGCATATAATCATTATTCACATGTAGTGCTAAATGGTGTTGGCAGTCGGGAATGTAGGCAAACGAAACCCCTTTATTCACATGTATTTTATATATCTTGTAATTACATTTTTTCAAATGTTATTTTTTATCGTTATACCTATTTTATATTCATTAATATTTCAAATGCTTCTCAATCGGATACTTACAGACAATGCTTTATGTGTCGGTATAAATCACCGTAAACAATAGAATAACTCAGTTTTATTAGTTTCTCACATCCGTTGCACCGTTTTATCATTTCGTCGTGTGTGTCATCGTACTTGTCCAATATCTGTTTTCCCGTTAATTCTCCCGTCTTCTCTGATTTACGTAAATGATTAAGAAAGTGGGTTATAAAAGAATAAATACGACAAAATTAATAGAAATGTATCTTATATCCATACTTACCTACAACGATAATGGTGACGTTTTAAATTTTTATTTTCAATTGATGCGTATATGTTTAATATTTTTCCACATGCTTTACATTTTTTTTTCATTTCATTGCTCGTTTCATCGAACTTGTCATGTATGAATCCTGGTTGGGGTAATATTTTTCGCAATAAGAATTTTAATTGCCAGATACGGTCAATAAAAATCATTGATGTTGTTAATTACTGCCGGCGACTTTTAAGAGTATTCTTAATAGTTTATTATATACACCATTGACCTCAAAACATGGTGTTCCTCCGTAATAGGAGGAAAAGGGATCGGGGGAGGGCAGGGGAAAGGGAAATTTAAAAATCGCGTATCGACAGTTCAGTGTATGGTCGACAACCCGTATCGACGCACTGTTCTGAAAAGTCGAAATAGACGCGTAAACAGCATCTTAAGTAATATATGTTATTGCGAATAGTATTATCACAACCCCAGTCGAGCTGGTAAGACGCCCGTCACGGATTGAGGGAGGTCCCAGGTTCGAATCCTGGTTGGGATAATATTTTTCGCAATAAGAATTTTAATTGCCAGTACGGTCAATAAAAATCATTGATCTTATAATTAATATTATCAGAAAACTTAATATTTGGATTGGTAAAATATTTCCGCCTAGTAAAAATAAGTTTCTGGTAACTTGCAACTTGGAAGTTGGGGTATACCATCTAAGTAAATTATTAAATATTTAGTTATAATTTTAAAGCAACATACAAAAATGTTACACGTAGGTTAACATATTTCAATAATGAAACAAACTTATCAAGTCAAACAAACACCCATAAACATATACAAGTAGCTGGTAATGGGTGTAATACAGGCAAACGAGGCCCCCTTATTCATATGTATTTTATAGTAGTAGTA